GTCCTAATTTTCAAGGTGCCGTTGGTGAACTGCTTTCTTTTCAAGTTAATAATGTAAACCCTCTTTTTCTTTCACAAACAAAAATTTATTTATTATTACAGTGATCAGATTATATTATATTATATCTTATTTAGATTAAAATCAAGTTATAACTTTACTTTTTTAATGGTTGGAGGAATGAAGTGGAGTGGAAGAAGTAAACAGGCTGTTCAACATTAAATATTTATATATTAACATTTTCAAAAAAAAAATATTTTGCTTCGTAGTATGAAATTTAAAACAAATATAAGGCATTTAAAAAGTATGAATTATAAAAGTTTTTAAAAATGTTTGATTAGTTATTAAAATATTTAACAAATTAAGTAAAATAAAAATTTTCAAAATAGTTTTTACTTTTAAGAAAAATATTTTTACTAATACCTGTTTATATTTGTTTGTGTAAATAACTATTCAATATCAGTTTAATAAATCTCTTAGACGTTCATGTATCTATATGCTCAAAGTTAAATATGAAAACCTATATGTGGGTCTAGGTATATTATTTTCTTAAATTTGATAAAACAGTTATTTTTGTAAATTTACTATTTACTATCAAAAAAAAAAAAAAAAAAAAAGAAAGATAAATGGTTTATTCTGCACTTACAAATGTGCTATGTTGCTGTTTTGATGCGTGAATAAGACGAAAATAATAAATGCAAATATGACGTCTTAAGTTTTAATATTTTTTGAAATACATTATTTTTCTGCTGTAAATATTTAAGTAACTTTTTGATAAGAATTATTTCAAAAAAAAAAATGCTATAACAAGAAAAATATTTTTCTATATTATATGTAAATTTGATTTCCTAACTTGATTTTATCCTGAACGATTGTTTTTCATGTAAAACAATTTATGTATTTAATTTCGTAACTTTTATTATGCAACAACCAGAAAAGATATTTAAGATTTAAAATTAGAATTGTTTTCAATGTATCATTAATATTACCAATTTAGCAATATCAAAATTCTTTAAAATAAAATAGGTCGGATGGTGTAGTGGTGTACTTTTAAAATAATACTATAACACATTTATGTCAAAAATAATAACAACTATATTCTAATCATATAGAAAATAACATCTTGCTCATTTTGGATTGAGTATAAAAACTTGAAATATGTATTTATTTTTTTCGGCATTTTATACGAGTACTACCTTCTTTTTTTTTGTGAGTAGAGGTTGTGGAGCTAATATGTTATAAACGATACGGACGTCGTTTTCGGTTCACTGGTCAGTAGACACAAAATGAATCTGATATTATTATTATAACGTATTTGCTCGGGAACGTGATAAAGTTTGATTTTCGTATTAATTTTTAACCAAATACCACTTATCTTAATATATATGATAATATGTGATTTACGCACATTGCACGCTTGTGAATATCTACATATTAAGATGCCACACAATATCACGTTATGTTTTCACATCCCATCAGGCTGTCACTGTGGTGTTAAGTATATACATGTGGTCCGGAATATATATTACATCTACCTATTTATGCAGTACGCCATATTGGTATAGCCGCATAGATACGACGGTGGAAGTTTTTTCACATTTTCATAATGTTTTCTAAGTTTCGGTTGGATCGTCATCAATTGAAATAGTTATAACTACACTTTTATGTATGCCACAATTTATTTATTTATAGAGAGGAGGGATCTTTTTAATGGCAATAAATACATATCGTAAGTGATTAAATGCGGTTAACTTAAAAAATGAAATAGTTTAATTGGTTTTTTCTACATCATCTGGACAATTTGAGTGTTACCCATTAACCCACTGGTGCTGGCATAACATGAAACGTACATTTTTATGATAATAATATTTACATGCATACTACACGTGTATATATTTTTATAGAAATTACTGTGAGATTTATTTGTTTCATTGGTCTAATGTGTACACACAGATGAGAATTTTTTTAAGTAAACCGAAAATATGTGATAGATTACAAGGCTATACAATAAATACATGTGTAAATTAAAATACTAACAAAACAAATATAAACGCTGAGCAGCTGCAAGAATTGAATGTTAACACTCAATACCCGATGCTACAATTATTATTTACTATCCAGTAATCAACATAATAAATTATTTATTTCATCATAATTTTTTTAATCATTTTATTGTAACTATAATAATTGTATTAAATTAATAGAAAAACACTTTCGTATTACCCAAAACGTCGAGAAACATTTAAACATTTTAATAGAAAAGGTCATAACATTATATAATTTTTATAAGTATTTTACAAATATGAAATTTATTGACAAATTTCTATAAATTCGTTTTTTCTCTATCAATTGTATATTCTAAAATTATTTCTCGTAGTTGCGATTATCTAGTAGGATAAGACACTACAAATAAAGAAGTCAATGTGCCATGTATATACACTAAACATCATAAATACATTTGTATTATAAACATTTTCAATTACCGTTCCAGTTTGTTTTTCACAATATACTTTTATACAACTATTATATTATTATATAGGACGCATTATATTATACTTGCATCGTCAACAGGTGTGTAGGCGTGTGTATGTGTGTGCGTGTCGGAGCGAGCTTGAGTGCAACAAGTTTACCATATTTGTATTCGATTATTCTACATGGTATTTATAATAATATTCCATGCGTCATTTTTTTCTTATTTCTTTTGTCATCGTACGATAGTAAATAATAATTAAATAACGAACTACAGCTTTCGTAATGATTTTAGCGCGATGATTGATGTCATCTAGCCATTTTGTACATATCAATACACCAATATATTATTATAATAAGGAAAATTATTATTATTCCCATACCTAACTTAAGTTTAGCACAAGTATTAAAAATAATATCTTTCATAATTTTAGTGGTTTTTTAGTGGTAGTCAGTTGTGCGTGTTTTGCGATTATAATGTATATTATACATGACCCGATGAAGTATCTTTCATTTTAAAATAGTTTTTAAATTATTAAGTAATTATATGTAATCTAGATAAAATATAAAAATAAATATTATTATAACCTACGGCTACGAATTTCGTACAAAATGATAATATGATATTATTAGTAGTTTCGAGGTGTTCTAAACCAGATATGAACACTGTTTTCGGACGTAAATCATAATGATAAATTAAACATAATATTATATAACGCTGAACTAGATATACATATAACCCAAATTCACCCAAGAAAAATGAACAAATATATATTTACGTCAATTCTCTGGCAAATGAGCATCGGTATACTTCGCGTTGTTAATTAATTCGACAGAGATGGGTAATCTGCCTTTGTCAGATTATGCATATAATTTTAACTTTTCTAATATATTTAAGAAAAAAAACGTCAGCGTGTGCGTATATTTCATAATCAATATAAACAAATGTATAGCCATCATAGACTTAATTAAAAAACAATTCTTCTACAAATGGGTGAAGGAGTGGTACTTAAAAGTCCATTAAATGCTCCAAGTCCCGTGACATAAATACGTGTTTGTTTACAAAAGTCAAAGCATCGAGTACTTGGGTCTCAACAATATATAATATATCATAGCATACACTTTTCGAGTAAACGATGATAAATTATAATGTTATGACATTTTTCGAGTTAGAAAAATTCATTGCTGTCAAAACTCATTAAATTTTTTTATCATTTACAGAGGATGATGTTTATGCTGCCTAATATTTACGTGTATCCGAGTCGTTATTTTCATTTATCATTAACCTAATCTAACTTATATGCGTATATGTATGTATATAAGTATACAACAAGTGTTTATTACTTTTATGTTTAAAGGAAAATTTGACCAAAATCATTTTTATTGCTTAAGTGTTAATTTTCGGAAATAAAATTTGTTCCGTACCTACTGTAAGTCTCAAGAGTATCGTAAGAAAAAGAGTTTAGTTTTGCACATATCACTAATTTTCTCGCTAATATAGAAATATATACCTATTAATTTTCGTTAATACTAAACTTTTGTAAACACACTCAAAAATGAAATTAAATTAAAATTTTATCTATCTTCATTGTTATCATATATAGCGGTAGTGTGTACATTGTGCAGGTATATTCACATAGCTTTATGTACTTGTAAAATGTCTTATATTAACAAATATATAGGCCATCATAATAATTGAAATGTGAAAATATCAAAATAAAACCTTATTATAAAATTAATTGACCCCATCAACGAAAGAGACTTTAAACAGTTTTTAATTACATTTTTTGTTACAATATGTTCGTGATTAAAACAGTTCTAAAACCCTTTTGATACGTATATAGTCGGATGATAGTTTCAACCGATTAGAACAATATGTATGAATCTAGATCAGATTTTGATGATTAAAAAAAAAAATAAATAAAAAATATGTATTGTATGCTATTTTGATTTCAAAGGTTTATACATAATATTTTTTATTTTACTCTTCGATATACATATAAATACCTAAAAACACTTCATATGTTGCATATGTTTATCGATTATAGATGCCCAAGGGTAACTATAATTATTGTACAGAATTAAATAAATGCTGTTTATGTGATACGCATTGTAATTGCTGATGATCGATAACATTGATCCATATAAATATATAATATATTTTACTGTATATTTTAATATATACTATTATATTTACCTATTTATACAAGTCATTCATTCTCAATACATAAAAAAGATCTAGATTCACAATTTTTTTTTTTTTTTTTAACAAAATTATATATAATATAATTATTTTTTTATTTTATTGCTTATTGATTAAAATAAAATCTTAAATATTATAAAAATAGATACGTGTGTATAGAATCGTATTAAAACTTTTATTATCATCTGTCGTTCAAACAACCGAAAACGGCAGCAATTTCTCTATTATTACGATTATATATAGTACCTATCTATATTTTATACATCATTTATACTATAAATCGTATACCATATACTAATCTCGAATCAATTTTTATTTATCTGTTGTACAGCCACGGCCAAATGATGTATGATACTGACTCTGAGTGCGGCAATGCCGCACCACTGACCCTGCACTATGGCAACCACCACGTGTACCTGATGGCGGAAATCCAACAAGCTGGCGATGAGCATTCAGACATGGATCTGATGTGTGAGCAGGGCGTCACCATTCGGGCCCACTCTCTGGTGCTAGCTTCCGTCAGTCCGCTTGTTCGGCGACTACTCAAAGAAGATAACGTGTGCATGTACCATAACCTGGTGCTTCAGTTCCCGGAAATCAAGGAGTCACACATGAAAACGGTGCTGGACTTTATTTACACCGGACAGGCTAGCGTATTGGTGAGTATTAAAATAGAAAACTATTATAAATTATAATAGCTTTGCGCAGTGGCGATATCGTAACCAATAAGGTTCATCCGAGGTGCGATTATTGATAGTTGAAAAAACTATAAATTATAATAATTAATAATATTTACCACGTCGTTAAGTCGAATTAGTTGTTTATATTCTGAGCTTAGTCTATAATAAAATGCTGAATGTTTTACAAAAATATATTATTTACTTATGACTTACAAGAATTGTATTTTTTATTATTCACATAGGTATTTAAATAAACAACCAATTTATTTCTCGGGGATTTTTTATTAGTTATTGACTTGAAAACTTCAGTTTTAGTTTGGCATAATTGTAAATGTGATTTTTTTCTTTTAATTAGATTACCTTTGATAGTCACCGAGATAAATCTCGTACTATTTTCCATCTCTTTCGTTTATTTACACTAATTACATTATACTCGAATATTGAAATTCATGATGTTGTTTTTACACTCCTGTAGATAAACACATCATCGTAATGGAATTTGCATTATCTATTAAATTGGTGATACTAGTGATATTAATTAATTTTATGCCACTCGTGCACACCATTGTGTAATAGTGCAGTCAGATAGAAAACGCTATTAAAAGTACTTATATATAATAAATATATAGGCTACTATTTTATAATATTTTATCAACTAAAATACAAATATATATTATTTTAGCATTTTTAATTAAAATAAATAAATAAAAAAAAAAATTTAAGAAACGAGTACATACTTCTATGAGTTCTATGTACATTATTTCTAACATATTGTACATAACAGCACGCGAATATACTTTATATTATATACCCTGACTTAATCTAACGTAGAATTTTGGTTGTCGTAGTTGTATGAGTGTGGTGTTTTTGCAGGAAAATGAATTCGACGAGGTGGTTAGCTTATTGAACTTGTTGGAGATTCGATCAGACACGTGGCAAAGGGCTATGTACGAGTCGGCATCGTCATCGTCACCACCACCACCCGGACAACCGCCGTCAGCTGCGTCATCGGACTTGTCTGCAAGGACGGATCCAGAAAATCTGTCACCAACGTCCCGATGTGAAGTACACCCCAAAAAGCGACGGAGACGGTCATCCGTACCCGTAAATTTGTCCATCGACACGAAAAATGACGAGGATACGTCCGTTACCCAATCTAACTGGCGGGTATCTAAAGTGAGTCCTTGTCATGTCAAACAGAAATATCTGATACATAATATATCACAAGTAGGACCTAAATTTAAATTATTAAAAAATAAAGTAAAAATGACTTGATCACAATAATAAAAAAAATTAACTCAAATTGTTTTTAGTATTTTTATCATAAAAATAAATTTAATACGCGTATAAAAATTTAAGGAAATTTCATTAATTTTATGATTCATACATTATGATGAAAAAACTATAAATATCAATGACTTATTGATAATAGTTTATAGCTTTTATCGTTAATCAATTTATTAAGAGTGTCTTGTTCTTATACAAAAATTAAAAATACGGTTATTTTAAAATCTACGTTAAACTATTTTATGTGCATTAGTTTATAAGTATTACACAAATTTAAGAACGTTTTTTGAGATAAAAATTTTAAATTTTACACTTAAGACCGCGCGAAACAAACGTGTCGCGGACGACGACGGCAATGGATATAATATCGATTCAACTTGTAATTTTATACCGTTGTTATATTTTTACAGATACAGATTATATACAATGTTGTTGTATATCTGATTAAAATGTTTTTAAAAGTTATATAATATTACAATAATAATATTGGTTGATATTGAGAAGAGTAAAATATAGACAAATATAATATACAAACGTCAAGTATCGAATGATGGAAATATAGTTTTTTTTTTTTTTTGTAGACATTTCAAGTTTAAATGAGTAGCAAATTTCAGGGTATACTCTTGCCAATATTAATAAATAAAATTTTTTCAGAAAATTATTTTGATTTATTTAATAAAACAAAAAATAATAATATAGGTTGGTCGTTTTCATAATTGAAAAAAAAATCTATTTGATAAAAGTTGTAATATTCAGGATTTTTTTCAAAAATTTACTTTTAATGCGTAGATCTTATGTTATAAAACGACTCAATATGCATCAATTAATTATAATAATATGATTATTACTTGATCACTTACATATTGGTTTTTATTACATGTGTAGTTCGAAGAGAGCCACCGGAAGTTGAGGAGGCGAAGCAGTTCGCCGTTCGATGACTATGCCCACCACCACGAACGTGAATACCACCACAACGGTTTCCAACCATTCCCGAAACGTGAACCACACTGGGTCGAAACTGAATACCGGAGTTCGCAACTTCAGTACAGTTGTGAGGTAAACTTACCGTACATGGACTCGGCGGAACCAAACTTAGATCCCGAGATCGAAGAGACAAATGATTCGGACAGCAAGGACGCAAGGCTGAATCCCGCCGACTACGTGGTACGCATAATAATATTATATTAGAATATATTTAATTAGAAGAATTTTACTAATAATGAATAAGTTTCTCCGAAAAATTGGTTTTATCTAGTTGCGCTGAGCTTAAGTATACTTTAAACTGACCTTTTTAGTTAACACTACTGCTCTCGTATTTTTTTAATTATTATTGAAAATAATTAGCCCAATGTTACAAATATAGGTACATAATTAAAGTTTGCAACAAAGTTATTTATCTGAATTTAAACGATAAAATAAATCTATTTATTTGATAAGTAATTCAAAAACAATGGAATTAAATCATTAAACTATAAGAGAACTTGTGTTCAAAACACCTGTTGTCGCATAATTAGGGAAAAATTTCCCGACCAAAATGCATTACTAGTGACGCAATATCAATTTATCACAATTTCATGATAATATTCCCAGCGTATTTTAGCAAGAAATGATAACATTATGTAATGTTATATGTGTATATTTATATATATATGTGTGACCAAACACGAAGTCAATACCACGTATTTTGAAATAGCTTTTTCTGCATCTCTGTTCCAAGAAATGTCTTTTGAGCTTCAATAATATGGCATGACATTAAAGAGAGTAAGTAATTAGAGTAGTCTTTATATAATTAAATTGAATGGATTTTTCTTATCTTTACGTTGTGTATTCGAAAATCGACCATAGATGTAGTTTGGCTTTAATAATTTTTTAGTGATAATTAATTTAAATAACTTTTGCAATCTATAATAATTATACTTTAATATTAAAATAATACATTATTGAGGTGAATATTATAAATGCGACATAGTTCAACTTGATGTGCAGTGACGTGAAATGTTTTTGAAATTTCTCTCAAAAATGAAATTCTTTTACTTTAAATTTAATACGTTTTTATAATATATTGAAATGCTGGCACAGGTTTTTACATGCGTTTTGTAATTATTATTTGTACGATTTAATATTTCGATAAGTATAATATTGTCCAAGTTAATGAAAATCCGCGTTTATTTACATAAACTACCCTGATATCATTAAAAACCAATAATCAAAATTAAACAGCTTTGACGATAATAAAAATGTTGTACCATCGACGCTGTTGAATTCTCGAGAGCTTAAATTCTACTTTTATTCTATAAAACGTAATAATACTACGGTCTGACTTATATTATGAATTCAGAAATTTTTTTACGCAACTCCTAAGAATGTCGAGATAGCAACTTAAAAACCTGAAGTGATTATTAAAACATATTTGAATGGAATTTTGTAAAGATAAATCATCAACCTTCACCGTATGATTTTTTTTCTTTCAAAAAGTCGAATGAGTAGATAATGAATGCACGAAAGTGGTATTCAATTTTATTATGTGTTTATACTATTATATCTGTCATTACTTGGAACATCTATTAAATTATTATTTTCACCAACTTGCCATTTATTCTTGATTTTTAATCTACTAAGTCTATGAAATGTTCCCTTTTCGTTCCCGTCCACACCCATTTTCTTGAAATTCATATAATTATGTAGTAAACGGCGGTCAATACATACGTATATGGTGTAAAATATGCATTCTATATTTGTATGATGTAAAACAGAGACTTAAAAAAATTATGAAGTATGTATGACGTATGTATATATTATTTTTATTAATATTAAATTATTTTAATGTGATTTACCGAAATTTCACGGTAATTGCAACTTAAAAAAAAAACGATGGCACAAATAAAATGAAAAAATATTTGTGCTGCGTATTAGATATCTCATAATAAATTATTAACTTCTTGTGTGTATGTTGTCTAGTAAACAAAAAATTATTTAAATGTGCAGGTCATATAGAAAGAAGTATATTATGCAAAACAAATAATAAATATATTATTATAATATAATAGAAATTAAACCCGTTCTGAAGAATATTTTTTATTCATTTTGATCAACATAATATTGCAGTATTGTATTTTAATATCTTTCATAATACGAATAGTATGCACAAGATTTATGCGAATGAAAGGAAAACTTACTTAGTAAAACAATTAGCAAATCGAAACTATTGTTACTTATCTAAAGTATAGTATAATTGGAGTTTTGTAAACTATCGATAAATTAAATCAATAAAACAAATTGCAAAACCTCAAAAAATATATTAAACTAAATTATATTGTGCATAAAAAAATAATAATTTAAACACTTGTAGTATGTATTAAAACGTAAATAAAAACATATTTTATAAATTATTGTTTTAAAACCTATATACCTATATATTTTGAAACAAAAAATTCTGAATTATTTTTAACAATTATAATAATATATATAAAGCAAAAGAAAGCAGGTTTATTTTTCTTCGTACATTTATAACATTTTCTTCATTTACTTCACTGCACACTAACGTCTATTTCAGGTATTGCCATATCCATATCATTCGACTTAAGTTTAATAATATTTTTAAGAGTTAAATAATATCATTAATAGCGTATGTTACTAAAAAAAATATTCAAAGTTAAAAATAAATCTTAACTTATTGATTATTAGTTACATTCTAATAAATCGGTTTATCATAATATTGTTTTTATTAAAAATAAATATGGTGTTCTTGAAATGTGTAGAAAAACTGGTTAAACATGTAAAATAATTATTAAGTATAAAATAAAAACATCGATTGTTTTTATAAAATATTAAAAATACAAAAATACGCATAAGATGAAAATAAATAAATATGTATTGTTTTTTAAAAATTAACTAACATTTATTTTAAAAATATGAATTTTCAATCGTTATACCTAAATTCTTCATTTCTTTAAATGAATTCCTAGTTTGGTGATTCACAACTCCTAAAACTACAAGTCAAACTAGTTATAAAGTATAAAGAACGCGAGTTTAATGCTGCAGCGTAAAAGCTATTCATTTGCCGTTATTTCGTGATCAAAAATACTTATGTATTTAGTTTATAGACTTATCCATCGTTTGCGTTGTTTAAAATGAATATAAATTTAAAAGTAAATATTTTATTTATGACCCATAATAGATATAGTATTTAAAAATGCCCTTCTTATATTTATAGTTAGATTCTTGTGGGCAAGACACAAAATAGCATATGCAGCTAAAGACTAAAGTGCTGTATTTTTTTATAAATTAGCTCGTATACTTTAAGCTATATATCGAAACTTAAACTTTTGTCTAGCCTTAACCAACCCATCACAAAAGAATATTTTTTTACTCGTCAATAGTTAGGTCAAAGATATTTTTTTGACCACGACCATTCTGTGCAGGTGACTCCGAGAAAACGAAAGAAACAGCCTGGCTTCCAGAACTCTCCAGCCCAGAACCCACCGTTCGTGCCCATGTACTTCCACGAGATGGCGTTCAGGCACCAGAAGATCACGCAATCACTCAGCTCCTTTGTGCATCATCCATTCGGGTCCACACCACAGCCACCGCTGACCCAGCCACGGACCACGGACGACGGTGATCGAGACACTCCACCGCACAGGACACCCATCTACATGGGCCGGTCCAGATCTCAGGACTCCGGCGTGTACAGACCGCCACCGCCGCAGCCCCAGCTGCAACCACCACCGCCACCACCATCAGACGACTGCAGTCCACCTCCACCGTCCGGACAGTCAACCCAGTCGTCATCATTTGGCAGTTTCTCTGAAAACGGGTCACCTTGGAAACCATCGCCTGGTACGTTTTTCGTTAAAGTATTAAGATATACCCATAGACACGAAAAGAGGAATAGAGGAATGGATAGGAGATTACAGTTATCCAAATTTTTACTTAATAAAATCATGAGAAGTCGACCTGAGTTATCAAAGCATGATAGCAATATAATATTATTGATAATTCACTTCAGTTAGCTTCCATTTTACAATCACAAATCCTTGTATTTAGTATATACGAGAATATCCATTTTTTTATTATACAAAGATATTACGACTTGAAAATATAAGTTCTAAAATACTACATATTTTACAATAGATAAGACATTTTAGAAACTATAAAAATAGAAAAGATACCTGATTTTCCGTGCGCTATATCTTTATTCGCGATTTATCAGTATAGGTGAATAATTCTATAAATTACATTAAATCTGCATGAATCCGTATAGGTCTTTATGACGGTGCTTAATATGTTCTTCTGGCTATAGACCTGATAAGAATATGTTTATTGATATATTTCATATTACTCGTACTTGTATAATGTATTTCATCGAAAAAATATTAACCGATTGATATACTTGTACTAATGAGAGCGAAACATTATACTGCATTATATTATCTAGCGTGCGTGTTTGGCACGTTTAACTAACAATAATATATAGGTATATTGTAATTTCTCACCAAGTAGTGGTTTCAAAATTCAAAAACTTTGGCACCCACTGAGAAGTTTTGCCGCGGCATAATTAAAATGGGAACCGACACAAAGAAAGTTTTCAAACGTTTGTGTTATTCCATGTATAAAGAAGCTCTCCTCATCCTTGTCTATTATTACACAACTTTTGGGACTACGATATAATAATAATATGACCACGTAAATACGCGCGTGAAGTGTACTGTCTGATATTATATAATACGACGTAAACTGGAATTTTATGCAAGTTCGATAACAGGCTGCACAGTGAATATAATGATATTTTAATGCCAACGAAAAGAAGAATGTGCTAGTTCGGTTTTTATAACATTCCCAAATATTGGTGAGATAATTTTTTTTTCTTATGGGAATAGGAATACATTCATATATACCAAGAAATCAAAGAACCCACTATGTTGGTTGTTCATGTTATCAATCTAAAACCAAGGTATAATAATAATAATAATAATAATAATAATGTGGTATATAAATATGAATTATAACTACAACTTACAAGTAACTGTACTTTAAATCAACTTTTTAATAAAAAATAACACCCATCGTCTTGGTTGTAGATGAATAGTCACTGATAGAAAATTTCGACCTAATATTTGGCTGTATCACTTTAATACTATAAAAGGACACACATTGGTTTGAAAAATGTAAAATATGTTTTGAGTATTTAAAAAAAAAGTTGGGAAGAGGGTAAAGTAATCAACTGCTCTTCTGTTGAGTAGGAATCTAGTGTACTTGTTATTAAGTATGAGCACTGAATAGATGAGTTATACGTATTTTAATTTAATAACAAAATATCATTTTGTATGGTGAAAAACAATTTAGAGCAAAAACGAACTAATCATAAAGTTACCAAATAGTTATCTTAGTAATACTTTTAGGTTTTAATAAATGTTATTTTAAAAAGTGCTGATAAATATATAATTTTTACCTTCAAATATAATATACTATATTTAACAATATGATACTTATAATTAAAACTTCACATTAATTTCAATGTTTTAGTATTTACCAGATGTTTAACCTCATAAAAGTAAATAGGTGTTTTTAACAGTCATCCGTTATAATCCCAATACATAATTATTAACCATACTCAAGATCACCACAGTTAAATTTCTTTAAAAATAGTGATATTTAATTTTCAATTTCATTTCTTTCAATATTTCACGATGGCTAGTTAAGCTATAAAAATAAAATAATCATTATTTATTTCTTATACATCTGCCGCCTTAACCCATTGATGTGCACATTACATCTACTACTGCAGGACTTATCGATATTCTGCAGGATTCATTTAGCGTGGTGATGCGAGTGTTATATTTTAATCGTTATTAAAGTAAAATATTTTATTATCATTTTGTGCCGCGGATAACTGCGTCGAGGACGATATGATTTTGTGTCTGCTTGTAGCGCACACTCCACATTGTTGTGAACAAACATTCTAGTTTTCCAGTTTGTATCATAGCCTATCTCTACCGCGGTGTTGATGTAATCTAATAAATTATATAATTATATCACCATCAAATTGATGGTTGCACATGCTATGGTCCTCCTCGAACGATAACAATATTATTGTGCACGCATTAAGTGTGAACTCGGTCAAATTATTATAGAAAACACATATTATGATAATAATATATTACTAAAATATTTAATGGTATTACTTCTACCATTCCAATACTACTAATAATATTATTATTTACACACATCCAAAATGTCAAAATAAAAAGTGACCATCACCGGTCTAATTTCTCGTACCTACTGAACATTTGAGAACAATATAATTACTGCAAACAAATATTAGTGTATTACATGCTAATTACTCAAAAGTACTAAAATAGCATTCAATAATGTTGTATAATATGATGAGCTCAAAATAAAATTTATCAATTTATATTATAATAATATATTATGGAGTATTGATTACATAATACATTCGAATGGCTAGACTAATTTTTAAAATACATTTGAAATATTTATAACGCCAAATGATTTTCACTATTTTTTATTGTAGTTGTTTTTAAATGACAATAATCTATATTTTTGATTTCGTTATCATAATTGAAATAAATAGGTACCTAATAGTATTCATAAGCGCTTAGAAATTGTATACGAAAAAGCGTGTAGTAATACCGTGAAAAGGGTAGGTATCCCACAAAAGTTTAGATCGTCCGTTTGTCCAAACTTTAAACGCTATTATATCACCAATATATATATATATATATAAGATTAAAATCACAATTTTAATAGTAAACAAAGCCATCATAAGAAGAGATTGCTATTTTGCGAAGCGAAAAATTCCAACGATATCTAACGAGTGTCCGGTCGAAAACCGTCGGAATGTTTTTCGGAAAAATGTTAAAAATGTTAAAAATATTAAAAACATTAAAATGTTGAGTACCCATTCTCTGTCACGTAACGATTTCAACTATTTTTGTTATTTAAATATAATAATATAATATTATATGAAACGGCAACAAATCGCAATATTATCTTATTGACTTTTGGGTTTTTTCGTTTTTTTCTCTCCGCAGACGTGAAACCGATGTCGCTGTCGTCCGAACCGGCGGCGGAAGTGCAGCACCAGCACCAGGCGCACCAGCACAGCTCGCCAGCGTCCGCGGCCGGACCGGCGTCCGCGGCGTCGTCGTCCGACACGGAGGACAAGTCGTCGGGTTGCGCGGGCGGAGCGGGCCGCGAGTACAAGTGCACTTACTGCGGCAAGCAGTTCGGCATGAGCTGGAACCTGAAAACGCATCTGCGGGTGCACACGGGCGAGAAACCGTTCGCGTGCCGCCTGTGCGTGGCCATGTTCAAGCAGAAGGCGCACCTGCTCAAGCACCTTTGCTCGGTGCACAGGAACGTCATATCGCCCGGCACCAGCGCGGCGGACCAGGAGACGGCGGCCGCGTTCAACTGTTGCTTCTGTCAGATGACGTTCGACACGCTCCAGCAGCTGGTCCGCCATTTTTCGGGGCCGCACAACAACTTACTGCTCACCAAAAACCTGAACGCCTGACGCGCGCCGGCCCAAATTTTTTTCTCCTCGCCGGGCGGCGCTCTGTCCCGTGTCGCCGATTTTTTTTCTAATAATGACGATAATACAATATTATCGTCTGTTATTATTTGCGTAATACAAATTTTCAGCGGACAAGACGTGTACCTCTATATTATACAGTTTTTTTTTTTTTTTTTTATAATTATTTTTATTATTATTATTATAATTATTATTATTATTATATGTATAAAAAAAAACCGTTTTTCGTAATTATTTTTATTAGCTGTTATCGTATTATTATTATTATTATTATTATTATTATGATCATCATCGTTACTGTTCTCGTCGTTGTTATTGTTAACTTTTAACGCGTAAAAAATATTCGGCCGGATAGCGATTTTAATCCGGTCCCCTTACCTGTTTAGTATTTTCGGCATGAAACGCTATATCGTGTCCCTTCCCCGTCATTCATTTAGAGGCGCGTATTATACACTCCGACGTGTCTCGTAAACCTGTTATAAATATGATATCTTAATCCAGTGCAATATGTCACACTCCCATCGTCGGCGGAGTCAGAATAAAAAACTTGGAAAAATCTGTGACATCGTCCAAAAGTGTTCATAATGTAATTTATCGCGAACGTTTTCTGATTGTATAATTATTATTTTATATACCTATACATCCTGCGTGTTCACTAATATTTACATAGATTTAAGTGACAAACTCAGAATCACGTATATTCGTCGTTGGTAGGTGCTTATATGCATTCGCAACAGAATTCGAGAAAAAATTCAACAACAATAACAACAACGACAACAATATTGTTATGTCGATGTGTGTAATGCGCACGATTAAATACTAAATGTAGATACTTAATTCGTAGGGAAAATTAAGATCTCTAGCAATGAATAATATGAGCAGTTATATACGTTTAAGTTAAAATAAAATTATTATATGATAAACTACGTCCTAAATCGATCGTTACCTTTATGTTTATAAAACAATAATTATTTGATAATAATATAACTAATAGTGTAACAATTTTAACAAAATTATAATATAAAATATTATTATACGTTCTTTATTGTTTGCACGCAAATACGTGTACTGCAAAGATTTGATGATTGTATGCGTTCAAACTGTCGTCGAATCTCAGCGATTCACTGTATAATTATTTTCGGACCTATTTAATTCGATTTAGTGCGGTCCGCAAACACTTCCAACAATCTTAATGATATCCAAAAAATATGTTTTTAACGTACTTCCAAATGGGTTTTTGGACTTAGCCGCAAGTGAGATCATATTTTGTTGGTTGTACACGATCTCGGTGCAGGTGTCGCCTGCACGAAATCGAAATAGAGATACTTATTTAATTTTAGACACGTTGCATAATTATTGCCCATAAAACTTGTACATAGTAAAATTATGTAATGTATCATAAAATACATAATATTTTTTATATATAATATTATGTTTTTATGAATAAAAAATGTGTACATAATTTATAGTATTGTTACGGTAATAATAGTGAATAGTAATAATAATATTATGTATTGTAATTCGCATTACACAATACATGAACTAAGACGCGTATTAATATTATAACATAGTGACGCGTGATCGAAACTAGTCATAATTTATTCACTAAGATGTGTACGAAATGTAAAAAATAAAAAATATTGCGTGTAAATATGTACTACCTATAAACAACACCAACTGTGTTTGTAAATATTATATATAATGAATAAATGGTTTACTAAAACTTTTACTTGACTACTGTTGTTTTTAATTCATTACAGCCATAAATCCAATATCGATCCAAATACGTGATATATTAAAGACAATGTGTGTGTCTGCAGGAGTTCGATGTGGGAAATTTTCAACAACGCAACGAATTATATTATTTTGAAATGGCTTCTAATACATTCTCATAGGCCAAGACATCGATTTAACGTCAGTGGTAGTGCTTTCGATTAATTCCAGATTTAAATTTCCGGCGATGACGACGTCTATTTGAAAATTATCATCAAAAACATAAATTTTTTTTATTATGCACATTGTGGTTATTTTTAAACCGTGTCATACAAACGTAATGGAAAAATATTGTTGTGTTATTATGATTTCAATATTGTAATTTATTCAAACGCCACCGCTGCCATTTTTCTTCTGATCCTGACCTCTTTCGCGCCATTGTGTCGAGTATCGGTGACTTGTAGAAAACAGATGTATATGTGACGCGAATTGTTCGCAGCATTAATAATATGCAGAACATTATGTAAAAATTGTAGTGTAGTGTACAAAGTATAAGCGTGTTGTTATTTTGATAACGATAATATCATTGTGAGAACGGTTGGAAATATGTCATTGTATATAATGAACTGACGTGCATCGAGTATCCGACTTTATCTTCTGTCCTAATATAATATCCTGTAAATTAAAGTAATAGTGTATCAGCTACCGATATCCTGAAACAAATTTCATATTGCAAGCAATAGTTTTAAAACAAACTTTACACTAATTATATTTGTTTTAAAATATCGATAATGGAGTTAATTGTTTTTTAATAATTATTAAAATTGGTATAGAATCGAATAAATTTGCAACTAGTCTTGAAAATAAAATATTGAATAATACGCGTAAATAACTGTCACTTCAGAAATAATTTAAATTTTAATAAAATTTAATTGACAAAATTACCTATTAAAATAACGTGAAAAACGAATACGGTACCATACTATGATACCACGGAGTTGTTAAATATGTCACTATTATATCATGTTATTTTACCTTTCCCCTGATTTTATTTAAATGTTTCTCTCGTGGCATTCGCTAAATCATCAAAAACTGTCAATTCATCATACAGTTATCATACAACTAAAACTATGCTATAGTACAATACGCTATATGGAATTTAGTCTGCACACAATGAAATTTAATTGTTTGAATGCATCATGTAAATTAGGTATAATAAAAATTATCATATTTATAAAAATAAAAACTTTTTTCTCATATGACAATGACATACATGTTATGTAAAAGTTTCTTATATTTTATGACCGTGTTTGGTCGTAATGCAATGTGGTAAATTGGCCAAACGCCCAAACATAGTTTTATCATACACTGATTATGCTAATTATAAGTAGAAATTAATAAACCAAAAATATATTTTAGTTAGAATTAAAAAAAAAAAAAATTAATTTTTAAAACAATACATAAACCAACACTTTATATTTGATAAAAGTCGCTGAAACGTAAATTTAATAGACGAAATACGACCTTAAATATGTAATATATGCATTTAAATTTAAAAAAAAAAAATGTGAAAAGAAAAAATAATAATATGCATTAAAAAATGAAAATATTCATATTTCAATTTACTACACCATGAAACGTATGCTGTGCTTATTCAACATTTAATATGATCAACCATAAAAAAAATATGCAAATATACATAAAAATTCGTATAATGAATCATGCATTTCCAACACATTCCAAACAATATATACGCATTAATAATGAATACAAAGTAAAATGTGAAGGTGAGTTGAAACAGAAATACATTAAAAGTCAAATATATAATTCGCGTGCATTATATAAAATTATTCTAATAGTAAGTAATATATACAGTCTGTTACAGTTTATTTGTTAATAATTTAGAGAACATTTTGAAAATATATCTTCTAACATCTCAACAATTGTGTGATAAACATGAGAGCATTAGAATCTGCGACAAGTTTAAATGCATCTGTAACAATTCAATGTCTTTTAATCAATCTATGAAAAAAAGAAATAAAATTTAATTTTTAATTTGTTTTGTTTATAATAAATAATAATACATTTGTTAATAATAAATTTAATTGATCCTGCGAACAGTAACACACATAAAACTACGATACGAGATTTTATAGATCATAATATTATATATATATATCAATAATTATACACAAACGTGGGAAACAATTCAATTTTTCTTTTAACATTTGTTGTACTTCTTCATCCCAATCATCGATATAGCCTTCTTAAAGAACGTCTTGAGATGACCTACAATTTTGGATTAAAATTTTAAAAAAAAATTATGACAGCCTAACCTAACCTATTTTGGACATTTTAATAACATTTTCATATCATACAGTTGACAAATATTTCATATTATTGATTATATAATTCATTATATTCTTATTCAACTGGTTTAATTTGTCAGTAATAATATTACTTAGGCTAACTCACTTAGTATTTTAAATTACAGAAAAAAAGTTTTAATGTGTAAGATACCTATTAATTGTATTTATGAGATATTTGCATTGGATAAATTTCCACTAATTATCATGTACAACAAAGTTTACATAAGAAAATATTACAATATTATTGTAATTTTTAATTACAAGTTTCTACCAAAAAGATCTAAATATAAAATAGGAACAAGGTACTTGGAAAAAATTTAACTATACACAAGTAACAAATATAACTCAGATTCGTATTTCAGTTACTACCCAGTATGATATACATCAGTACCAAATTTTTGTATTCACTGATATTTAACAAATAAATATTTATTATAATTTATCTTTTTCGATAAACGGCATTTAACATTAAAACAATTTCATGATAAATAATCACGCCCATAAAAATTTAAATCTAAATATGTATCATTTATAAATAAGGTATTTAACTATAGCGGCGTATATAGTCATTACATTCAAATTGATTTTTGTTATCGTGTATTTACATCATTTTGAAGCACATCCTACGCATTTTACTTTATACTGTTCAAAATTTATTAAAAAAAAAATGTTTAAACTTTGCAAAATATTTTTAAATATTTTTAAACATTTATTACTATATATAATATGGGACAACGTTAATGGTTATACAAACACAAGCTATCGAAAAAACCACGTGGATATAAAATTGTTTAATTATTACTTCTTAATCGACCAGATACCCAAAAATTTAAATTTTGTTTATCAATATATTTTTTTTTTTTTGAAAGAATTTAAACAAATATTGATGATATCTAATTAAGATAATTTACGACAATATATCTTTATACATTATTGGTTACTATTAATAATTGATTACTTAGCATGAACAAATATAATATTTAAATTAACTTTCAAGATATAATATCTAAACTAAATTGATAAATACTATAGATTATGAAAAATTAATTTTAT